AGAATGGTGTGTCACCATTAGTGACAGAGCTGTGTCACCATTAGTGACAGAGCTGTGTCACCATTAGTGACAGAGCTGTGTCACCATTAGTGACAGAGCTGTGTCACCATTAGTGACATAGCTGTGTCACCATTAGTGACAGAGCTGTGTCACCATTAGTGACAGAGATGTGTCACCATTAGTGACAGAGCTATGTCACCATTAGTGACAGAGCTGTATCACCATTAGTGACAGAGCTGTGTCACCATAATTTCAACATAAAGATGTCATCGCTTCTGACAGAGCCTTTGGGACAATGGCGTCAGGCTGTTGATCAGCAATAATAAACAACAGCCCAGGTCACAGAAGAGCCATAAACACCTCGTCAACTTTTATACCCCCCCCCCCCTTCCCCGCACGAATTACGAACATACATTTTTTTTCTGATATATGTTTCTCACATTTAATAAACACACTTCTTAAAACTGTTTATATGCCTCTCTCATTGATTATAAAATATCTTTGTAATACCTTATAATATTTATCAGGCGATAATTTTCTTTCCTTCTCACGAAAGACCCCACCCCCATTTAATTACATGCTTTACTAATTTAAAATTTGACTATTATTTCCATATTCTCCGTTTTATTAGTTAAATAACTATTCACGATTTTATTGGACGAAACTTTTATAAATATATAGTTTTCTTTATCTATCAGTTTCTCGTTTCTTCTTTCCTTTTTCTTCAATTAATCGATTAGGTTAAGACAGTACCAGAGGCGTAGCGACCCTTCACGGCGCCCGGGGGCAAACTTTTCGATTTGCACCCCCCTCAAGATTTAGATTTGCACCCCCCCCCCCTCTCAAACTTTCGATTTGCACCCCCCCCCCTCGAGATTTCGATTTGCACTCCCCCCCCTCGAGATTTTGATTTGCACTCCCCCCCCCCCCGCGTTTCAACTTTCGATTTGCACCCCTCTCAACCTTTCAATTTATTTTTCCAACCCATTTTGGCGCCCCCTAAGGTCGGCGCCCGGGGACATATGTCCCGTCCCCCCCCCCGCCCCCTCGCTACGCTACTGGACAGTACCTATGGCTAGCGTTGGAAATGTGAGCTGAAGATTTTGTAGACTTACTCGCATGACAATATTTTATGACAATATTACAATCAGGGTTGGACTGGAGCAAATCCCAGTGGGCCTAATGTCCCAAAGGGCCTAATGAATAAAATCCCAGTAAGCCTAATGAAGAAAATTTCTTTTCGTTCTTAACTGCATCGCGATTCCCTCCAGTGCAATTAACATGGTGTGTAACTAAGGCCAGTTGACTCTAACTTCAGCCTGCTTTTCTTTCTGGATTTGCTTCCGAAGCCTCTGTCTACCTAGAAACAAACAAGTGCTAGTTTGATTTTGGAATTTTCTCACTTAGATGGGTTGCTGTCCCCCAGCTAACGAGTCTCATCTGTTCTGGGTTTCTCCACTTTGATAGGTTGCTATCCTCCAGCTAACGAGCCTCATCTGTTCGTGGGTTCTCCAATTAGATGGGTTGCTGTCCCCTAGCTAACGAGCCTCATCTGTTCTGGGTTTCTCCACTTTGATAGGTTGCTATCCTCCAGCTAACGAGCCTAATCTGTTCTGGGGTTTTCTACTTAGATGAGTTGCTGTCCCCTAGCTAACGAGCCTCATCTGTTCTGGGGTTTTCTACTTAGATGAGTTGCTGTCCCCCAGCTAACGAGCCTCATCTGTTCTTGGGTTCTCCACTTAGATGGGTTGCTGTCCCCCAGCTAACGAGCCTCATCTGTTCTGGGGTTTTCTACTTAGATGGGTTGCTTTAACGAGCCTCGTCTGTTCTGGGGTTCTCCATTTAGATGGGTTGCTGTCCCCCAGCTAACGAGCCTCATCTGTTCTAGTGTTTTCGGTGTAGCAGACTTAACTTAAGCTTTACCACTCCGACAACGCCAAAATCAGTCTTTAAAACAACAGCTGATTTTCTAACACGGCATCATTTAGCAATAGATAATACAGGGATCAAGCCTACAAACACATCTGGGGTCGTTGATAATTTAAATCAGCACACATTAAGAAATTTAAACGGGCATCAACGAGTAAACAAGAATCCTTCCATCAGTCCCACGCAACACCCAACCTCTCCCTCCTACAACCCCCCCCCCCCCCCCACTTAAAATAGAAAACGAAACTCAGCCCACCATTTCTCCCTACACTTCAGTTAGTGGTTGTAGACACAGTCTAGTCTGTGACGATAAATTTAGGCTTTGTCTGTAAATTAGTCTTTTATTATACAATTTCGTTTGTAAATATACCAGATAGTTCGTATATTTATACAATTGATTTGTGAATATAGGCTAGTCTGTAACTATAAAAGAAAGCATTCGGTTGTAAAAGAGTTTATTTTTTGGTTTGTGTGAATATAGGCCCACAGCTAGTCTGTAACTATAAAAGTAAGCATTCGGTTGTAAAAGAGTTTATTTTTTGGTTTGTGTGAATATAGGCCCACAGCTAGTCTGCAACTATAAAAGTAAGCATTCGGTTGTAAAAGAGTTTATTTTTTGGTTTGTGTGAATATAGGCCCACAGCTATTCTGCAACTATAAAAGCATTCGGTTATAAAAGAGTTTATTTTTTGGTTTGTGTGAATATAGGCCCACAGCTAGTCTGTAACTATAAAAGTAAGCATTCGGTTGTAAAAGAGTTTATTTTTTGGTTTGTGTGAATATAGGCCCACAGCTAGTCTGTAACTATAAAAGTAAGCATTCGGTTGTAAAAGAGTTTATTTTTTGGTTTGTGTGAATATAGGCCCACAGCTAGTCTGCAACTATAAAAGTAAGCATTCGGTTGTAAAAGAGTTTATTTTTTGGTTTGTGTGAATATAGGCCCACAGCTATTCTGCAACTATAAAAGCATTCGGTTATAAAAGAGTTTATTTTTTGGTTTGTGTGAATATAGGCCCACAGCTAGTCTGCAACTATAAAAGTAAGCATTCGGTTGTAAAAGAGTTTGTTTTTTGGTTTGTGTGAATATAGGCCCACAGCTAGTCTGCAACTATAAAAGTAAGCATTCGGTTGTAAAAGAGTTTATTTTTTGGTTTGTGTGAATATAGGCCCACAGCTATTCTGCTACTATAAAAGCATTCGGTTGTAAAAGAGTTTATTTTTTGGTTTGTGTGAATATAGGCCCACAGCTAGTCTGCAACTATAAAAGTAAGCATTCGGTTGTAAAAGAGTTTATTTTTTGGTTTGTGTGAATATAGGCCCGCCGCTAATATGTAACACAATACAAATTAGGCTTTGACGATTAAAATCCGTGATTATACAAGTTAGACTGTGATGATTGAAATCTGGGATTATACAGATGAATGTGTTTAATGAAACTTTTTCTTCTCACAGTGGTGAGTCGCACCCAGAGCGGCATTATGGCGCCCCTGTCACCAAATCTAAGGAGGCTAACTCTGATAATTTTAACTGTGATCATCCTGACTTTAAACATAGGTATGTATATGATAATGTGACGGCGTGGCATAAGCGGTAGAGCGCTAGGCTGCTAACCCGAAAGTCTCTAGTCCGAAACGGGTACAAGTCAGTAAAGCGTACCTGAGTCCACCCAGCTCTAAAGGGTACCTAACTCATGTTAAGGAAAGTAAATATGGTAGATTTAAGTGCTGACCACACCTTCACTTCATATACCGAGGTCAAGAACTCTAATACATCTGCTAAATAAATCGCTTTGTCTAAACAGGATTTTTTACTTTACTTTTCATTTTTATGTACATTTTAAATTTGTTTTTTAAGTTCCTATTTACTATAACGTCATTGCCGAAGCTTTTCTGTCCCACCCCGCAACTCGAACAAAATATAATTTATATAGAAAAATAAAATATAATTTTACCAGCGCCCCCCCCCTGCAAAAAATGTGTTCATCAACTCTCTCCCTCCCTCTCCCTGAAAGAAACACTGGATGCATGCTGCACTTGGTGTTTACTATTGCTATGTGTGTACGTTAATCGTTTAAGAAAGTTTGCGGTGTATTAAATACCACTTGAGTAACCGCGCTGGATTCCGTTACCTTATGTCAAATGTTTTGGTTATTTTCCCTTGAAATTTATCTAGTACTTTAAAATACTTGAATATTTGTAACAAGTTGTGTAAGATGTTCCCATTATTTTTAGGCACAACAGCGTCCAATCATCAAGAAACAGAAGACGTAAGTGATTTTTTTCTCATAATTTATTTGTATTACTTGAAAATATATATTGTAAAGAGCTTCTAAGTTAAGAGCATTGCCTAATAGTTTCATCTACATTAACTTAAATAAAAAGAAAATGTGTCTAGCAAAGTGTATTTTATTTATTACTTAAATTAATATCCCGGTTTTACTAATAACCCATTGAATTAATTGAAAAATGTTATAAATGCTTAAAGGATTTCTAATTAATTGTTGTTGTTTTATTTTTAAATATAAATATACCCCATGACTTATATATTTTGTTTGTTTAAAGTATTAGCTAATAACTCACAACTAGATGTATTGTAAGACACCACGTCTGTTGTATTAAATACAAGTATTTATTTATATCCTGTTCATTTTATTTTGTTCAACAGATAAATATAATTCTTGATTAGATTACCCACTGCAAGATTTTAAATCATAAGTTTCTCTTGTTAATCAAATCCCCACCCCCACTTCATCTCTGTATTTGCGGTTACGTGAGTTAGTTATCATTACTCAGTCCTAAGAAATAAATTTGATGCATTTTTCGCACAATAATCTGCATCTTAAACCGCCATTTACAATTATTCATTAAAATATTAAAATAATGAGAAAACACAATTGTTTAAAAACATTCCTAATTTTATCAGTTGAAATTTTGAATAAAAAATAATTAGCAAAATGCAAACACTGTTATTTTAAAACTGTCACCCAATCCGACATTTATTACATTTAAACGATTTGTTTGTGATAGGGTACCAACGGAGAGATCCAACTTTCAAAAACTAAATCAAGCAGAATGTCTCAAGAACTGTACTTTGGTAGAAGCTGTTACAGGAGAAAGATGAATCAAGAAGGAAAATATTATATTGTCTTGTTCTATGAAGCGACATCGTGGTATGACGTCATAGATCTAGTAGCCCCCAACTACCTCATATCGCCGGTTGTTCTTACAGTACATTATAGTAAGTAATAGTTTTCTCTTTTTAGAGCAACATTATAGTAAGTAATAGTTTTCTCTTTTTAGTGCAACATTATAGTAAGTAATAGTTTTCTCTTTTTAGTGCAACTCTTTTCTTGTAAGCTCTTCATATTTTCTCTTTGTTACGAAATTGTCATACATAACAAAAAAAATTATTCAAAGATTTATAAAATTATTAATTAAAAATAAACATATATTGTTACGTCTAAGTAGATGTATAAGTATTATTGGAATTCTTTGAAAACATATTTAACGCTCTGATGCTATTTAGCCTTCTGTGGTTCCATATTATAACGTCATGTTTTTAACCTATTTTAATTTCCACCCCCCCCCCCCCCCACTCACCCAGACATCTCGTTTCCCAAATGCGCAATTTTTATAAATTATATTTTTTTATTGTGGCTTTTTTTTGGGCAAATCTTCCTGTAGCTTACTTTTTACAAACTTCTAATGCAGCCATTTTTTACAGATACATTCTCCTCCGAAGACAATGCAATACTATCTAATATTTAATCGAATTAGTATTTAGATTAGTCATTGAAATTTTGTTGAAAGATTCAATTAAATGATTACTAAATGCAACAATAAAAGAGAAGATAGCAAGTTTAAATACTAGCGATTTCTCCACCAAAGATCCGACGATGAAAGCACGAACACCCAACCTCCTTTAATTAGGGTGTCATTGTTTCTAAGCAAGCTGTTTCTAGGCTAATAGAAAAGCGCACAGAGCTCCGATTCCCAAGAAAACAGACTCTGTAGAAGAACGTAAACATTTGTTGTTTTAACTGACAACGCGATATTCCGATCATTGGTTTAAGATATTATCTCTGGACTGTTTTAAAGTATTGATTTTGTAAGTGACACTCCAGGGGTCAAATTTTATTCAAATAATTTACTAGAAAAAGTGACGGAGAGGGGGAAACTAAAAATAATTTCTCAATAACTGTTATCAACTAAGTATTGTAGTGTCAAATTAATGTGTAGTATTTAATTGCAATCTTGCAGATGCCATGCTAATATGAATTTTTTTTTCGAATTAAAAGTTTTTTTTTTAAAATCATTACCTTGTAGAGCATATAAACAAAAGATTAGAAAAATAAAATAAAATACACAAAGCATGTACCTGAATGTAATAGGCGGCCTTCGTTGACTGAAAATTCCCATTGTTTACCTTTAAAAAATACCTGGAACTCTTCAATCGGATCCCACACACCTGTGGACGGGGTTTTAAACATGATGTAGCTTCAAAGCCATGCTAATTATTCATTTGTATCCTATTCACATTTTATCTCTGCCAAATAGACAGACACCCGCAGAGACAGACTTTCATTTTATGGTGCTATTATAAATTGTTCAAATTAGAAGCTGAGCGAGAAGGGGGGGGGGGTACATATTTCCCCGCAGAAATGGGTTGGAAAAAAATAATTAAAAGCTCATTTTAGTTGCAGTCAAGAAATTTAACATAATTTACATACTGGTTTAACTGTTTTCTACCTTATCTGTGTAAATGAAAAGCAAATACTCTTAAGAAACAGAAACCGGAAAAAATCGCTTTCCAGCTTTTCCTAGATGTGCGGGTGGGGGAGCGCGCTTTTTCGCCGACTAAATTGGAACGCAGAAGTGTAGCTATGATATTTTGCGCCAAGGGACGAACTATGGCGCCCCAGCCCCCTCCCCGTGTAATCAAATTTTTCTATTACATTAAATAAGAAAACACAATTTTAATAAAACATTGTATTTAAAGAAGCAAATTCATAGAAATTATAGTGAATGACCCACTCAGTCAATGTCGTATACTGGTTGACATAGTTAAAACAAAAGATTTATTTTTCTTGATTTCATAGTCGCAAACTGGTCAATTACGCAATCAAAATATATTTTTTCCAATGTTTCTCTTTCAACGCTAAGAAGAGCAAGATCACTGCGACGATCTTGACCCATTGACGCACGTAATTGCGACAAAATAAGTTTTTATATGCTGAACGACCGCTCGCAACTTGCTATTGAAGCTGCTACTATTAATAAAAGTTGCAGTGAAATTCACAGATTTGGAAGTACGTCGTTTCGAATTGTGACGTGGTAATTGACAAGTAAATTATTGACCTCGGGGGTGGGGGAGTGTGTGTGTGTGGGGGGGGGGGGGTTATTGACATGGAGGTAGTATACTGGTCTCATATTATACAATTCTGTTCTAATTTGTTTCGTTTTAATTTAAATTACATTTTGGAATGCAAATATAAATAATTACTTAACGACAGCTAGTAATATTCCTATCAAAAATATTTTTAAAAACTGTTAAAAGTATAGCTACTTGTTATATTTCTTGGATCAAACACTTTGCCGTAATCAGCTGGTTTTGGGCGCGTTTTGCCATTAAACAGTCCAAGCCGGTAGTAAGCATTTCCAATTATTGGGTAAAATTTGAATTTCATGGGAAACGTTCCTGAGCAGAAACAGGGGTAGTAGTCATTGTTTACACAATTTAGTGGGTTTCTAAACCAGAATATATCACAAAGCTGCAATAAAAGGGATATTAAAACGTCAGTAGTAGTTAATGCATTCTGACTTTTTAAAAAGAAATAATGACGGACTATACGGTAGGTAAAGTAGAGTTTTCATTATCTCGGCAAACGAATTGTGTAGTCAGTTCTCAGCCTAGCAGCCTTTACTTTCCTTAACGTGAGCCGGGTAGGCCTAACCATTCAAGCTGAGTGGACTCATGGACGACCCAGGCACTCGAGCTCTGGATCAGATTACGAGATTTGCGGGTAAACTTCAGTGATGAACAAGCTAATTATTATGCAAATATCATATAACACGAAGAGATAGTGGGAGTGGTTTGTAATTTTTTTTTCTTCAATGAGGTAATATACCGAGCTGGAGTCTCAAGGACGTCCAAAAGTACACCCAACTCTGATGGGTACCTGCAGTAGCGTAGCGAGGGGGGGGGGGGGGGCGGGGGGGGGGACATATGTCCCCGGGCGCCGACCTTAGGGGGGGGCGCCAAATTGAAAGTTTGAAGGGGGGGTGCAAATGAAAAGTTCGAGGGGGGGGGGGGGTGCAAATCGAAAGTTTGAGGGGGGTGCCAATGAAAAGTTTGAGGGGGGCGTGCAAATCGGAAGTTTGTCCCCGGGCGCCGGGAAGGGTCGCTACGCCTCTGGGTACCTGTGACGTTAGGGAAACAAAGGCGAATCGGTTGAGTGCTGAACACACTATCCCCCTACCCACAGTGTGCCGAGGTCATTGAAATAAACTCTATTTCATCTGCCTCATATGTGTTAAAAAAAAAACACACACACACACCACATACAGAGAGAGAAAGACATACAGACACAATTGCAAATATAAGTTTTTCCGACTCGTGGAGGTGTAAAACTTGGAGAATTGTGTTATGGAACGAATTAAACTAGTAACTCGAAGTACTACTGCATTGTGATTGTGCAAAATACCGAAAGCAAGATTTGTCAAAGTTTTGCACTTCCCTGAGTCGGAAAAAAACTCAGTTTTGCAATTTTGTCTGTATGCTTGTTTGTGTGTGATTGTGAGTGGAAGTCTGTGAATAGGAAAATTTTAGTACCATTTGTTATGCTGAAGAAATTGTATATATATGTATTATATTGTAGTTTGTGTCGTGGAGATCACTCCCGCTTAGTTTTAAAGTTTTGCGGTCTTTATTTTATTGTGTAACGGTTCATTGCCTAACGTATTTTATTAGGTTTTTTTCTGTTTTATCCGAGTGAAACGCCCTGGTTTTAATTTTTTTTTAATTTTCCAAAATTATAATTTCATTTTATCCATGTAATGAGCTTAAAATAAAAAAAAATAATAAAAAGAAGTTAAAGAAACTAACCGGAGTCCAATCACGCGAGCCATCAGAGCAGTCGAACTTTCCTACACAATAAAAAATACTTATCGTCGATGTGTATTCCACCACGGGGAAAGTCAAATTCTCTTGATAGATGTCAACGTGCCCTAAAATTCTTCCGGTGTAGCGGCAACTATAATTGACACAATCTTTCTCAAATCCTTCGATTTCCATAGGAAATCTTGGTATGCAGTTTAGTATATCTGTAGAAAAAATATTTTTCATGAATTAATGACTTAGCAATAATTAAAATAACTAGATCTGTTTTCTTTATATTAGCTGGAAGTTAAACTTTTAAAATTGAGATATTTTAAATCGTAATCTGCATTTTTAAAAAAAAAAACTGATACTTTATAAAATATCACATTTCTTGGCATCTCCGTTAAAAATGTATATGTTACGGTCAAAGCCCGCATTGGCCGGCCAATGCGCACTTTGGCCGGCTCTCTTGGCCAAGGCCCGAAGAACTTAGCACTGAGAGTGTATTTTGTACATTGGCCGGCCAATGCGCGCACTGGCCGGGACGTACTGGCCAAAGTCGGAAGCGCTTAAACTTGACAGCGTACTTTGTAGATTGGCCGGCCAATGCGTGCACTGGCCGGTATGTCCTGGTCAATGTTCTATCTATACTACGTTGTGATCGCGTTTTCATTATTCTGGGTGCGGTTTCATTATGAGTAACGTATTGTTTAGCTCTTGTTTGTATAGCATTATATATGCAAGGCGATATGGACCACGAGACAGGCTTAGCAGATGGCTGTCAAAAGAAAACATGTAAATCCATGCTAGTTTCTATATATGGGCTACAACTGTATGTGACAGCCTCCTCCATGATGACGAGGTGAAACAATTATCAAAGAACAAATTCAAAGACAGTCGGCGTCTTATTGATATGCAAAGTTACCAGGATCATTTAACCAAGTTCATATTATTGTGAGCTTTGGAAACCAAAAGAGCAGAAAAAGTTGCTTACCAGCTGCTGGATATCTTCACGACTATTGCTGCTCAGAGTGTGCTTAATCAGATAATGTCAGAGAATTTGAGTAGTATATTAGGTCCCTTTTGGAGCGAATTCTTGGCGGAGGAGTTGGTGGGGATGCGCAAAGACATATAGTAAAATACTCGGGAGCAGGATGCGCGGGTGGCGCAATGACATATAGTAAAATACTCCACCAGCTGCCGCAGGGTGGTGGAGCAGGATGCGCGGGTGGCGCAATGACATATAGTAAAATACTACGCCAACTGGGGTTGGCGGAGGTGGAGGTGTGACGTAATCTCCGTTGACATTGTGACGTAATCAGCGATATTATGACGTAATTATTGACCTTGTGACGTAATCATTGACCTAGTTACGTAATTTTTATACATTTTTTAATGAGTTTTAATGAGTTTTTTAAATTTTTAATTAATTTTTTATTCAAGAGTTACGTAATTTGATTATTTGTTTACTTTTTAATTAATTTTTATTGACTAGTTACGTAATGTGATTTTAATTACTTTGTTTATATTGTGTAATTTTTTATTGACCTAGTTACGTAATTGGATTTTAATGAGTTTGAATTTAATGTTGTAATTTTAATTAATTTTTATTAACGAGTTACGTAATTTGATTATTTGTTTGATTTTAAATTGTTTACTTTGTTTGTTTACTTGTTGTTTAATTTGTTGGTTTGTTTGAACGTATGTATGTTTTAAATAAAAGACTAACACTATCATGTACTAGAACAGTCTTTGTATACCAGCCTTTAACCAGACATGTAACATCTGTTACGTATCGAGCCGCCCGTGAACTTTCCAGGCGCTGGGCGGTTTTTAATGGGTATTATATCGATCGCAGCCGCTGGCCCAGATGATTAATGGCTTTTTTCCCCGCTCGGTTGACGGGTTATGGTAATTAACGACGTACATTAAGTGTCTCTCCGCGAAGCCCGCGTTAAGTGTGGGAACACCTGTTACCACGTTAATCGATTTTACCGAACGCTTTGTTAGCTCCGCGAAGTACTTAGGTCATTATGCAACAGCTGCTGTGCAACAGCTGGGGGTGTAATTAGGTCGATCAGCCGGACATTACCTTGTTGGTTTTCTAGTACGCGTATGCTACACGTATATACACATTCACACACACACACACACACACACACACACACACACACACACACACACACACACACACACACACTAAAATTAGAACAAAAGTCTTCTTATATTTTATTTGTTTATTAACGTTTTTCCAATTCATCAAAGGGTTTTAAAATTTCATCCTGTAAACTTAATAGGCGCTCAAAGCAGACGCGACTCATACTAACACCAGAATTTGTAGGAAAATTAAGATCGGTCCCATCTATAAGCTCTCTAAGATTTAAAGTGTTTTTGTTCATGAATTGGCTGACAATCGCCAATTTAAATCCGGTGTGATTCATCGTTCGTATTTCCGTCACTTTATTGTTACCTCTGGCCACAAGTATCCAATCTTCATTAGACATCTTGAAATAATCTTTTATAATTAGTTCCAATAATTTGAAGTGTTAAACGTAATATAATACGATCATTAATATATTGACGATTCGCTGACGCCGAAAAGGGTTGTAATATAACTTTTAAATTTGCACCGCGCGTTTAATCGAAAGAGCTAAGTAGTTAACCGCAAAGCTACCGTTAAGTGTGGCGACAGATGTTACCAAGCGGGTGGTGGTAAGGTGGTGGTAAGGTGGTGGTGGTGGTGGTGGTGGTGGTGGTGGTGGTGGTAAGGTGGTTGATTTTTTAATTAGTTTAATTTTTTAAATTTTAATTATTTTGATTTATTATTTGTTTGAAATTGAGATACATGTACACACACACACACACACACACACATGCGCGCGCGCGAAATTCATACTAGGTCGATAAAGGCGGAGAGAACTTATAGGTATACATTATCATGGTGACAACAAAAGCGATCCTTATTTTATTTATATGAAAGCGTGTTTTCCAAAAAGTGTCACCATGCCGTTGTCATTTTCGCAGCGGGGTTTATTTTAAGTGCACATCGTGCACGCTTGTTTACATTTTAAAACTCGTGTCGCGTGTCTTCCCTAATAGAGAAACGAGAGGAAAGACAACTGTTCTAAAATTAGAACAGCCTTGTTTACAGCCACGAGTTTCGTCCCTTGTGAAAAAATTCGCGTCAGAATCCTTAACTAAACAGTCAATTTCTTTAACAAGTTAAAAAATAATTTAGGAAGACAAGGGTTAACAACATTAGACGCCACCGTTTTTGTTTTCTGTGACGACAAGGCACAAGACACTTTTTTATTTTATGTCTCAAGTAGAGGGGTGGGATATTTTTTCTTTGTAAGCGTGTTGTAAACAATGGGTAGAGGAAGCGATTACTAGGTAAGAGGGGAGAGAACGTAACGTACATCGCGATATTTGAAAACATGGCGATGTTTAACCTCAACCAAAAAAGGCAATGAACCTAGAAGTGAGACGAACATATATCTTAGTCTTGCAGCAGATTACCTTCCCATGTTCACTTTAGTATTACAGTTTTCATCAAACTTCTTTTTGACTTGAACTTCGTTAATTTTTAAGAAAGTTTACTTATACATAATACATTACGTCTAATGACAATTTTTTATTTTTACCACTCAATGTATTTTCTTTTTCTATATCTTACATTGTCATCTTAATTTTTGATCACCTTAGTAAAAATTTGCTTAAGATTATAAACTTCAAGTTTTAAAAAACAACAACGTTATAGTACGTCGTGTCAAATGACACACCGTTTAAAATGTCTACATTTAAAGTTCACCAAAATAATGACGTAAAATCTAAATATGATATGACGTTAGCATACATATCATTCAACCTAATCACTCTAAAGTACAAATCAATAATTTTTATTGATTAAGGGGCTGGGTGAGTTATTTTTATTCGGGTGCCCAGGGAAGGTTTGGAGTTGGTTGGGACAGATTTTATACACGAGTCGGTGACGTTTTCACCGAGGCAGGGTTCGAATCTAGACCATGCATGTTTTGGAATTGTTAGGGAGAGTTAAACTAAGATCGGTGAAGTTTTCACCGAGGTTGGTTTTGAACTCGGAACATGCATGTTTTGGAATCGGTAGGTGTAGAGTCCATACTAGGGTCGGGGAGTTTTGCTAACACTGAGGCAGGTTGCAAAGTTAGCACATGCATGTTTAGGAATTGATGGTAGCCGAGTTCATACTAGTGTCGGTGAAGGTTGGTTTTGATCTCGGAACATGTATGTTTTGAAATTGTTGGTAACCGAGTTCATACTAGGGTCAGGGGAGTTTTTGTTAACACCGAGGCAGGTTGCAAAGTTGGTACATGCATGTTTAGGAATTGTTGGTAGCCGAGTTCATACTAGTGTCGGTGAAGGTTGGTTTTGAACTCGGAGCATGCATGTTTTGAAATTGTTGGTAACCGAGTTCAGACTAGGGACGGGGGTGTTTTCACCGAGGCAGGTTACAAAGTTCGTACATGCATCATTGGAATTGTTAGGTAGAGTTAAACTAAGGTCGGTGAAGTTTTCACCGAGGTAGGTTACAAAGTCGGTACATGGATGTTTAGGAATTGATGGCAGTCGAGTTCATACTAGGGTCGGGGAATTTTGTTAGCACTGAGGCAGGTTGGAAAGTTGTTACATGCATGTTTGGGAATTGTTGGTAGCCGAGTTCATACTAGTGTCGGTGAAGGTTGGTTTTGAACTCGGAACATGCATGTTTTGGAATTGTTGGTAGCCGAGTTCATACTAGTGTCGGTGAAGGTTGGTTTTGAACTCGGAACATGCATGTTTTGGAATCGATAGGTGTAGAGTCCATACTAAGGTCGGTGAAGTTTTCACCGATGGTGGTTTCAAAGTTAGTACAGGCATGTTTTGGAAGTGTTAGGGTCGAGTTCATAGTAGTGTCGGTGAAGGTTGGTTTTGAACTCGGAACATGCATGTTTTGAAATTGTTGGTAACCGAGTTCATACTAGGGACGGGGGCGAGGGTGGCGGACAAAGTTGTCGATGTAGGTAGGGTGCAAGAGATATTCATCGAGGAGTGGTGTCTACAAGTTATGTATCCCAGTCTGTTGGAGTGGTTTCTAGGGGGTTGTGATATTAGTTGAATAAATATTTGTCTGTAGGATTGTCATACAGCCTTTGTCTCTTAAATGGAATAGGTATAGTGCGGGTAGTAGTAGTAGTACGGTCTGTTTATCTAACGGTTGGTATTGAGGTTAGTGTGATGACGCAAGGTTGGATGGGAGAAGGGGAACGGGGTTGCGGACAAAGGGAAGGGGAAGGGCGAATAGTGATAAAAATAACTCACCCAGCCCCTTAATCAATAAAAATTATTGATTTGTACTTTAGAGTGATTAGGTTGAATGATATGTATGCTAACGTCATATCATATTTAGATTTTACGTCATTATTTTGGTGAACTTTAAATGTAGACATTTTAAACGGTGTGTCATTTGACACGACGTACTATAACGTTGTTGTTTTTTAAAACTTGAAGTTTATAATCTTAAGCAAATTTTTACTAAGGTGATCAAAAATTAAGATGACAATGTAAGATATAGAAAAAGAAAATACATTGAGTGGTAAAAATAAAAAATTGTCATTAGACGTAATGTATTATGTATAAGTAAACTTTCTTAAAAATTAACGAAGTTCAAGTCAAAAAGAAGTTTGATGAAAACTGTAATACTAAAGTGAACATGGGAAGGTAATCTGCTGCAAGACTAAGATATATGTTCGTCTCCCTTCTAGGTTCATTGCCTTTTTTGGTTGAGGTTAAACATCGCCATGTTTTCAAATATCGCGATGTACGTTACGTTCTCTCCCCTCTTACCTAGTAATCGCTTCCTCTACCCATTGTTTACAACACGCTTACAAAGAAAAAATATCCCACCCCTCTACTTGAGACATAAAATAAAAAAGTGTATTGTGCCTTGTCGTCACAGAAAACAAAAACGGTGGCGTCTAATGTTGTTAACCCTTGTCTTCCTAAATTATTTTTTAACTTGTTAAAGAAATTGACTGTTTAGTTAAGGATTCTGACGCGAATTTTTTCACAAGGGACGAAACTCGTGGCTGTAAACAAGGCTGTTCTAATTTTAGAACAGTTGTCTTTCCTCTCGTTTCTCTATTAGGGAAGACACGCGACACGAGTTTTAAAATGTAAACAAGCGTGCACGATGTGCACTTAAAATAAACCCCGCTGCGAAAATGACAACGGCATGGTGACACTTTTTGGAAAACACGCTTTCATATAAATAAAATAAGGATCGCTTTTGTTGTCACCATGATAATGTATACCTATAAGTTCTCTCCGCCTTTATCGACCTAGTATGAATTTCGCGCGCGCGCATGTGTGTGTGTGTGTGTGTGTGTGTACATGTATCTCAATTTCAAACAAATAATAAATTAAAATAATTAAAATTTAAAAAATTAAACTAATTAAAAAATCAACCACCTTACCACCACCACCACCACCACCACCACCACCACCACCACCTTACCACCACCTTACCACCACCCGCTTGGTAACATCTGTCGCCACACTTAACGGTAGCTTTGCGGTTAACTACTTAGCTCTTTCGATTAAACGCGCGGTGCAAATTTAAAAGTTATATTACAACCCTTTTCGGCGTCAGCGAATCGTCAATATATTAATGATCGTATTATATTACGTTTAACACTTCAAATTATTGGAACTAATTATAAAAGATTATTTCAAGATGTCTAATGAAGATTGGATACTTGTGGCCAGAGGTAACAATAAAGTGACGGAAATACGAACGATGAATCACACCGGATTTAAATTGGCGATTGTCAGCCAATTCATGAACAAAAACACTTTAAATCTTAGAGAGCTTATAGATGGGACCGATCTTAATTTTCCTACAAATTCTGGTGTTAGTATGAGTCGCGTCTGCTTTGAGCGCCTATTAAGTTTACAGGATGAAATTTTAAAAGCCTTTGATGAATTGGAAAAACGTTAATAAACAAATAAAATATAAGAAGACTTTTGTTCTAATTTTAGTGTGTGTGTGTGTGTGTGTGTGTGTGTGTGTGTGTGTGTGTGTGTGTGAATGTGTATATACGTGTAGCATACGCGTACTAGAAAACCAACAAGGTAATGTCCGGCTGATCGACCTAATTACACCCCCAGCTGTTGCACAGCAGCTGTTGCATAATGACCTAAGTACTTCGCGGAGCTAACAAAGCGTTCGGTAAAATCGATTAACGTGGTAACAGGTGTTCCCACACTTAACGCGGGCTTCGCGGAGAGACACTTAATGTACGTCGTTAATTACCATAACCCGTCAACCGAGCGGGGAAAAAAGCCATTAATCATCTGGGCCAGCGGCTGCGATCGATATAATACCCATTAAAAACCGCCCAGCGCCTGGAAAGTTCACGGGCGGCTCGATACGTAACAGATGTTACATGTCTGGTTAAAGGCTGGTATACAAAGACTGTTCTAGTACATGATAGTGTTAGTCTTTTATTTAAAACATACATACGTTCAAACAAACCAACAAATTAAACAACAAGTAAACAAACAAAGTAAACAATTTAAAATCAAACAAATAATCAAATTACGTAACTCGTTAATAAAAATTAATTAAAATTACAACATTAAATTCAAACTCATTAAAATCCAATTACGTAACTAGGTCAATAAAAAATTACACAATATAAACAAAGTAATTAAAATCACATTACGTAACTAGTCAATAAAAATTAATTAAAAAGTAAACAAATAATCAAATTACGTAACTCTTGAATAAAAAATTAATTAAAAATTTAAAAAACTCATTAAAACTCATTAAAAAATGTATAAAAATTACGTAACTAGGTCAATGATTACGTCACAAGGTCAATAATTACGTCATAATATCGCTGATTACGTCACAATGTCAACGGAGATTACGTCACACCTCCACCTCCGCCAACCCCAGTTGGCGTAGTATTTTACTATATGTCATTGCGCCACCCGCGCATCCTGCTCCACCACCCTGCGGCAGCTGGTGGAGTATTTTACTATATGTCATTGCGCCACCCGCGCATCCTGCTCCCGAGTATTTTACTATATGTCTTTGCGCATCCCCACCAACTCCTCCGCCAAGAATTCGCTCCAAAAGGGACCTAATATACTACTAATTTGTTAATTTAGTTATTTCTGAACTAAAGAACATGTGTCCTGAACTTAAACTATTTCACGGAAAACCAAGGCATAGCCAAAGCCAAAATAAATGAATCTCGATAATTTAGTTACTGAGGAAGATATTGAGAACATTGAACAAGAAATGGAGATTACCATAAACGCAACGACATCCTCAGCTAACACATCTGCTGCCGTGGCAAAAATGTGGCCAACAGATTATGTATAGTTTGTGAAAAACATTGTAGTGCAGCCCTTTCTTGTGGAACCTGCGACAACGATGTCCATGCTATTTGCGGAATACCCAATGAAGCAGACGAAGGGTACGGATGAAATATTACCAGCAGATTGTGTCACAATAAACAAGACATCATGGACAACAGGTCAGAAGCTCATACTAGCTTGCAAACTCAAGGTTCTAAGATGCTTAAAACATCAAATATAAAATTTTAAAAAGCTGAGGTGGATGACAATGTACGCATCCGTATACCAGATGTTGACAGAGGTCGCGGTGATCCCCGGAGCGTCATTGCAGTTGTCATGAGCGTCGAGGGGCTTTCTACAAGTTAGGAACGGAACATGGTGTTCTAAAACAACTGTATGCTAGAAGTGAGTTTTCAATTCTTCACAAAAAACTGCTCCTATTGTCGTCAGTTGGCACTGACGAAAAATTACTACGAACCATCGCATCTTCACAATCATTGACTGGCGGCCAAGGCTACACTCGCTGCAATTGCACAACTAAGTGCACAAAAATCGCTGCAAGTGTAAAAATAACAAGCTACTATGTAATTCTAAATGCCTTAAAAGTTCAACTAGTTGTAGCAAATTATAATATTGATTGATTGAGACTATAGTACAATAAAATATATGAATGTTTCTGTCATTTACTCTGATGAATAATCAATAAAGACTTAATTACATGGTCCTTACGGTATAAAAAAAACACCAAAATCTGCTCATGATACTCTAATTCGGACTTTGGCCGGTCGTCCCTAGCCAGATGATCTTTTAATTTAGACTTTGGCCGGTCCACCATGGCCAGTCCGCGGATTGGCCGGCCAAAAACAAAAATCAAGCAAAGTTTTGGACTTTGACCAGTCAATGGGAGGCGATATTGGCCAATGTGCGCATTGGCCGGCGAATCCGCACATTGGCCGACTTCGGGCTTTGGCCGTAACATATATTGCTTTGTGTATGGTACAGTCAGTTCGTAACTTGGGGGAGGGTAGTGAGAACAATGCCGCTCCCATGTAAGCATTTTTTTTTACAGTGGTGCCTTTTTCGGAAATTTAAAAAAGAAATTTTGAAACAAGAAAGAAAATCAAGATATAAATAACTAAGAGAATAAAGCAGAAATGGATGCGCCCCTCTTGTGGTCGGCGTCTGAACTAAGCTGTTGATTATCGCATGTTTTACTCTTGTTGTCGCCGTTTGTATCTCATCTTTGGTTATCTAATGTTTTTTACTAAACGGTTTGTTTGCTAAATTGTTAAGTAAGTGAAGCCGCCTGTCTATATCATGGCTGAAATATTTTTACTTTATATGCTATTTGATATGGGATAGAGGTGGTAAGTCAGGATGTCACAAGCATAATGCTAGTGGTTGAGATGGAGCACAAACATTTTGATATAGATCTAGATCTAGAAACTACAATTTGTTTTAAAGGTGTAACACACGCACGAATATTTATCGGTGTATATTTTGTATGTGTATAAAGTTGTTGCCTTCTTTTCCTATTTCTGTTTCTCCTGCAACAAAAACCTGAATACGCAAAATTTGTTATAACAAAGTCTGTTTGCTTAAATGATTTTGTGTTTTACATCAACATACTAAAACATATAGAACCGTGTGACTACCTGGTAAGTAAACCATACAAATGAGAAGTGTTGAAAGCACCAGAACTTTATCCATTTGTGCCTTAATTAGATTTTCGAAAGGAACATTTAAAAATCCATTGGTTACAAATAGATGCAGTAGCAAATAGAAACTAGAAATAGCCCATAATTAATTTATGTCTAACTTTTTGTTTTCAACGTCTTCAAAATGTACGTTTAGTTAATGTTTGAATTGGGCCGGAAATACCAAAACTTAAAATGCGCACCTCCTAAGTTGACTTTTGTGTTTGCATTCTTTTACTAGTTATGAATAGCACTTTAGATGGGTTTATTTGTAAAGGAAATCGGAACCAATAATTTGTAGAATCACACTTTATTTTGAAGACCTTAAACCACAAGTTTACTACTTTCGTATAATTCAATAGCGTAGAAAGTATAATTAGGAACATTAGTTTTAGATTTGACGGTTTCTATACTTCATCAATCGAACGGTTTTTAATGGCAGCACTTTGACCTATAATTAATTTGTATATCAGCACTATGCTTACTCGTCATTACCTGTGTATTATATGGTCGGTATTATGCCCAATAGCCATTACTATAAGGTTGCATTATCAGAACTTGTCCTCCATCCATAAATTTGATTGCTTTAGCTGCTTCTTCTGAAGTTTCATATTCAATGTATGCAGCACTTCTATTAAAGTGTGCATGTATTCGATCCATTGGCATGTCAATATTCTTTATAGTTCCATATAGTGAAAAAATCTCTTGAATATGATCTTTGGTGACATTTCGAGTGAGATGTCCGACATGAACTTTGGTTGGTTTGGGAGTAGGACTCCTTTTCTTCCGTTTGGGAGTTTCTGTCCTTTGTTTTCTGTCCCTGCCACGACTGCGGCTACTATCACTACTAGAAGATCTACTTGAACTTGAGCTTCCAGAGCGAGAAGAACTACCAGAACTAGAACTTCCTGAGCTGGAACTACCAGATAATGACGATCGAGTACCACTTCTAGAACGTTAGGAAGATGAGCTGCTTCTAGAATCGCTACTTGTAGATCCACCTCTTCTTTTTCTATCCCGAGTTCTATTTTCTTTTGATTCTTTTACATCCTTTTTTTTGTCAGGTTTATCTTTCTCATCACGAGACTTGCTGTCACTCCTAACCATTTTTTTCTTCTAACTCAACCAGAATCAGACAGAATTCTTTGAAAGCTTGTCGATTTATAATTACTTTTTTTTTTAAAGTCTCATTTTTAACATGTTTGCTACAATGCCTCCTATTAGTTAGTCGGTCAAAATAATATGAAGCATGAAAGCTGTGTATGTGTAATGGTTTCCCGCCCTATGTTTATTTTTATGTTTTTTTTGTATTTATATTATTAGTTTTAAATACATTTCTTTTTTATGCTGTGTCATTCTTTATTATGTTTTTTTTTTAAAATAATAATTAAGAGAAGTAATTGCTTTTTTATTTGTTTAGTGCAAATCTATTAAAAGGTGCTTAAGAGCACACATATCTGACTATTTAAAAAAGGGAAATAAATCGTGGAAGTGGTTTGAACGTTTGCCTATCTTTCACACGATGGGTTTATTTTCAAAAGAATTTTGCAGACAACAGCGTGTTTGATTGTAGGAGAAAGAGGATTTGAGATGGTGTCTATAGAATAAAGATAATCCAACCGCAGTTACAGTATTCTTGTTACAAAACAACCATCAAGTCAAAAATGCAAGAAGATTATTTTTTTAACTGTAAAAAAAAATTGATTATGGTCGGCTGCGGGTCCCTAAACGTCCTGGGCCCCGCGCAATGCGGGGTCTGGCGGCACTGTAGTTCCGCCCCTGGTTTGGGATAAAAAAAAATTTAGTAAATAAATACGACCATCTTTCCAAACAAAAATTCCCTTGAAAAAAATGTCAATTCGTGTATAGGCCCTATATTGTGTTGACTTTGTTGTTTCTAGTTTTTAATTTCAATTGAAATGAAGGCTATGTATGTACATCCAAGACCTCAAAAACTTTTGGGAGGTACAACATTTTAACCCGTTTGTACTGATTACCTTGTCAATAATATAATTAGGTCGTCCCTATTCCCCATAAATTTAAATGACGTTCTACTCAAAATATGGAAGGGGTAAAAAAAAAATTTTTTTTAATATTTTTATCGAGTAAAAATGATGAACACGTTCGTTTTCGTTAGAAACTGATTTAGGGTTGGGGTGTAGATCTAGTAAAACTTTGCGCTGTTATTATATTTATAAATCAGCGATCTGGCTTTTAGTGACGATCTGCCGCGTCACGTTTCTCAACCCCGCCGTTTCATCCCACACTTAGCGCGCGTAACGCCATTTAGAGCCAAGTTAATGTTAAAGAGCATTTAAGCTCCTAGTTCTATCTAAAGACTTCGTCTGCCCATTAAGCTACACACAGGCCAACCCCCTCCCCCTTCAAGCTCCGCTCAAGTGCTTCGCATTTCATAAAAGACCAATTTGATGTTCAGATATAGTCAGACCCTGGCGTTTTGTCGATGGCTGTATTCCTAATGCACCGTCTGAGAGGCTGTCCTGTGCTAACACTAATTTATATTAAACTCAAGTCTATACTAAGTTCTGGCCTTACATTAGCTGAGTTTATTTTAGTGACATGTGCAGTTGTGTTTCCAATGACATCAGTTGAGTTGAATGTAGATTTATTTTTACTTACCATTCCAATACTTTTCTACTTTTACTTATCTTGCCATTTCCTCATGTTTGACAGAGAAAGAATAGTATTTAGTTAATATTGTAAAAACTAATATCTGGTTTGTTTAAAGTTTCAGATGTTGAAGACACACCTGCTATGATATTTGAGCATTGGGATGAGTTTAACAGCATACCCGGATATTTTCTCTACAACAACCAATCAAACTCCAAAGAGAATGTAGTATATGAGATAAAGGTAAGTTAAACAATATTTAATTATATCTGTAATCAAATTGTTGTCTATGTTAGTGAGTGATTGTGTGTTTCTATTGCATGAAGTTAAAATATAATATCATACTAAATAATAAATTGATTTCAGAACACAACAATGCATTTATGTTTAACTTCACAGGCTGTTAAAGAGAAAATCTTTGTTGCCACCACTAGGGTCTGCTTCTATTTCAATGAACCATGTTTATGCAACATGACCTATGACCGGACTACAGAGAAAACAAGTGCCTCACCAAGTAAGTAGGCATTAAAAAGATTTCCAAGCTTGAAAACGTTTGATTTTTTTTTATCTTTCAAAGTGTGTAAATAGCGTTCAATATTTTGTAGGTACTTAGCCATAGTCTATTTTGCCACATATCGAGATATATATCTATTAACTAGCCGATACTTCTAGTTACTAACATGGATATTTTAAGTGAAATACAATCACATAAGGGAAAGACAGTGCCCTGTGCAATTATTGTTGCTGTTTAGTTGGGGGGGGGGGGGGTTATTAGGAGGACTGTTTTCTTGGTGGTGAATGGGACGATTCTTGCGAGATTACATATAATATATTAATGTCAATAGACACTTCTGTTAAACTAAAAGAGTTATCAAATATGTCATTTATATATATATATATATATATATATATATATATATATATATATATATATATATATATATATCTGTCTGTCTGTCTGTCTATCTATGTATCAATATCTATCTATCTATCTATGTATCAATATATTTATATATATATATACATATATATATATATATATATATATATATATATATATATATATATATATATATATATATATATATATATATATATATATATATATATATATATATATATATATATATATATATATATATATATATATATATATATATATATATATATATATATAATGTGCCAATATTTATAGTAGAGTCTACTTTGATTATGTGGCTTCTTCCGATAACTGAATATTTTCATCCATGTTAGCATCGCAACCGACTGTAGAAGATGACGTGTCAACGGCAACATCACAACCGACTGTAGAAGATGACGTGTCAACGGCAACATCACAACCGACTGTAGAAGATGACGTGTCAACGGCAACATCACAACCGACTGTAGAAGATGACGTGTCAACTGCAACATTACAACCGACTATAGAAGATGACGTGTCAACGGCAACATCACAACCGACTGAAGAAGAAGTCGTTTCAACTGCAATATCACAACCGACTGTAGAAGATGACGTGTCAACGGCAACATCACAACCGACTGTAGAAGATGACGTGTCAACGGCAACATCACAACCGACTGTAGAAGATGACGTGTCAACTGCAACATCACAACCGACTGTAGAAGATGACGTGTCAACGGCAACATCACAACCGACTGTAGAAGATGACGTGTCAACTGCAACATCACAACCGACTGTAGAAGATGACGTGTCAACGGCAACATCACAACCGACTGTAGAAGATGACGTGTCAACGGCAACATCACAACCGACTGAAGAAGAAGTCGTTTCAACTGCAACATCACAACCGACTATAGAAGATGACGTGTCAACGGCAACATCACAACTGACTGTAGAAGATGACGTGTCAACGGCAACATCACAACCGACTGTAGAAGATGAAGTGTCAACGGCAACATCACAACCGACTGTAGAAGATGACGTGTCAACTGCAACATCACAACCGACTGTAGAAGATGACGTGTCAACGGCAACATCACAACCAACTGTAGAAGATGACGTGTCAACGGCAAGATCACAACCGAGTGTAGAAGATGACGTGTCAACGGCAACATCACAACCGACTGTAGAAGATGACGTGTCGAGTGCAACATCACAACCGACTGTAGAAGATGACGTGTCAACGGCAAGATCACAACCGAGCGTAGAAGATGACGTGTCAACGGCAAGATCACAACCAACTGAAGTAGTTGTGTCAACGGCAACATCACAAGGAACTGCAGAATGTTTCACAACTACGGGAGTTCCTGAAGACAATGTAGGAAGCAGTTTTTCAAGTGCTATGGATTTGGTAAGATTTTTTTTATTTCTGAAATTTGAATACATTTTTGTATTTATATAGTGAAAAGATAGACCTTCTCATTGCATATATTCTATATTTATCTGTTTGAAACTTTAATTAGAATTAAAGTTAATTGGAATTTTATCTGCGCACAATTCATTGTGTATCATTGTAAGCCATGTAATTTAACATTATTAAGCTTAGTTAATTATCAATTAATCTTTCGTTAATTGTAGTGCAAGTCTTATTTTTTTGAGATCATTAGTAAGTTGGAAATTCTATTCAAATAATAGATCTACATTAAATTATGCAATAATAAAGTGTAATTTTTTTTACAGAGCCGTATTAGTTATTTATGTCGTATCTTTTTGCTTTATTTGAATTACTTGAAAAACTGATTTAAAAACTAATTATTGATTATTACTTTCTTGTATATACGAAGTATAGAGCAATTTCGGTAATCGTGCAAAAAAAAAATAATTAAAAAACCCAAATTTTTGCAAATCTCGACGTTTTACACCTCCTTGGGTCGGAATAACATAGTTTTGCAATCTTGTCCGTATGTGTGTGTGTGTCTGTGTGTAAACACGATAACTTGACTACCGTCATGATGAAATTGTATACATAAGTATTGTATCAAAATCGTAGATCCGTATCAACTTTTCAGCGATTTCCGATAACCAGAAGTGGAAATTTTTTCTACTCTGAATTTTTCAAAAGCCTATAACTTGAATACTATTTCAGATAGATAAAAGAAATTTTCATATGTAAGTAAAAGATCTAATTCTCTACCTCCTATTAAATTTTGAGTAATTTCTGTGACCAGAAGTAGTAGTTTACGCTATTTCCGATTTCTCAAAAAACGCATGGAAATTTATAAAGTACAAATAACACTACGCTCTATTATGCACATTTTATTTGGCGTTCACTTGGTGGGAAATTTATTTTCTACGAGATTATATTCTATCTTAAAAAGTTTAAGTATTTAAAATGGATTAAAAATCATGTCTCTATCCCGAGTTCCCATCCCTTGTTGTTTTATATAAGAACTAGCCATCGGTACCCATTACATTGGGCAATTCTGGTGAATTTTAGCTCTCTTCTCTTTACATACATATAGGCTACTCAGTTTTTCTTTTAGATATTTATCTCCGGTGAGCGGCACTTAAAACTTTCCGTGGAAGGGAGGGGGGTAGCGGATACTGGTTTTTCTATATTTTTATGAAATACTTTGGGGGGTAGCGGATACTGGTTTTTCTATATTTTTATGAAATACTTTTTAAAAAATTTCGCTGCGAGGGGAAAGGGGAAGAAACAAAGATTTCTATAAAATAATTAAGGCCTGGAATAGTTTAATATAGAAACATTAAGTGACGTCACTTTTGATTACCTGGAATCGCTCAAAAGTTGAAAGAAAACTAGATCTACAATTTTGATAAAATACTTAGATCTATACTAGATCTAGATCTATAGTATATATTAATATAATATATGAAATTTAATCAGCCTAACTGAAACTTTACCCAAGTTATTGTGTTTACATACACACAGACAGATGGACAAGATTGCAAAACTAAGTTTGTCCGGCTGTGGAAGGTTGTAAAAAGTAAAAAAAAAAAATCAAAACCTCAAAGTGTATAGTTTTTACTCTACACATCCTACTTTTATGTTGAAATATCATAGTCATATATATAGGCCTATAGATCTAATTTAATAAGTTCCATTTTCTTTTACATAGATTAATACATGAAGGTAGGGAAGTGTAAAATGGCAAAATTTCATTTAATTTTTCTGCATGACGACAATACTACTTTTTTTCTGCATTATTACAATACTAACTCTATAATACTCTGTATACGAGAAATTAAAAAGGACAAATTTAAGCAGATCTCTTTTTTCTACTTAAACTACAAAAACGAAAATTTTAAATTATGTCCATTGTCCCTAATGGAAAAACCCACAATAAACATTCTAAAGAGGATTGCAAGTCACCAATTACATAAATAATCTCGAAAACTCCGTTCATGCTCCCACCTCTACTCACACCAACCAAACTGCCTCTATACCCAAACAAATGGGTGCATTGTGTGTGTGTGGGGGGGGGGGGGATAAAAACCTGATGAAAACCCATGCAGCGGGAAAAGTGGGTGTAGGTAACGCTTGATTCTTCAACTTCGTGAGGTCTGACTAGCTTTAAAGCAGTACCCAAACCAGTATGTTAAAGCTTACACATAAAGCAGTTTTAAATTGTTTACTTTATTTATTTAACAAAAAAAAAACATACGCTATTTTAGGCAAGGCGATTGGCCAACACAAGTGTAGGCCCTATGGAAGCGAGCAGAATGATAAGGTCGATAGCCCAAAACCTAAACTCAAGCTTACATTCCAAGTTCTCAAGACGACCTGCCGACGTACTACATCTTTTTGATGTTTTAGCTCACAAACTGAAGGAGCCGGGAATGAAAATCGAGTCAGATGTCTTGGAGGTAATGAAAATAAATTTACTCAATTTATTTACCTGTTGTGTAGTATAAAAATATTTGTTTTTAAAATGTATTTTTATGGCTTCAGAGGCTTTGAACATAGGTGCTTTGACCAGAGGTGCTTTGACTTTAGAGCTTTGACCATATGGTCTTTGACCATTAATTATGTTAAACTACCTTTTTTTTTTACCTCTACCCCTTCATAATAGTATATGCATAATCCCTTACTATTATTTTTTTTTAGCATTTTTACTAGTTTAGTTTATAATATATTTAATTTTGTTTTTTTGTTGTTGTTTATTTGTGCTTTTTATTAAGCTTACATTTCCCTACTGGTTTGTTAATTAATAGATGCCATTAATTGATGCCATTAATTGTTGCTTCTTATGCCCTACAATTTTGTTTTATTTAGATTTTTGGGATGGTTGTGGACAGCCTCGCCAGTAGCACCAATGATGACGTTGACAGCCACGAAAATGACATAGCAAAAATAATGCTGTCTCTTGAAGACATTGTGAAAGCAAGTCTTTACTCACTAAAGGAGAGAAAATCTGAATGTATTTTCTCAAAGTTATGTACGTAGACTTAAAATAATTTTAAAACAAAAATGTCTTTAATGCAATTAATTCAACATATTTTAAAAACAATATAATCAAATATTTTTATTTGAAAACAGAATGAGGATTTTACAATAGGATATTGTAGCTAAATTACATTGTTTTAAAATGTGTATTAGCCCAGCTCTTTAATGATTGTTTAAATTGTGTGCATCCAAGGCCTATTTTTTTAGTCCATATTTTTGTTCTCTCCAGGCCCAGTTTTTAATTGGTTGAAAGTGTTCAGGTCGAGTTTACTAAATTCAAACAAATTACTAGACACTGTAAGGGGTCGGCGTGGTCGGGTCGGTAAAGCTCATGGTTGGTAAGCCGAAAAGTCTCGAGTTCGAACCCTCGGGCAGATGAGGCTCGTTAGCTGGGGACAGCCACTCTTCTAGGAGAGACAACTCCAAAATCAAACAACTGCTGCCTTGTAGTTTATTCTTGGTTGGACAAAGGCTATGGAAGCAAATCCAAAAAGAAAAGCAGGCTGAAATTAGAGTCAATGACCTCAATGGCGCATAACCAGTTGACACGTATCCTTAATTGTGATGGAGGCGCGGTTGAGTCGGCAAAAGCTCATGGTTGATAAATTTGAAAAAGTCTCGAGTTCAAACCCTCTGGCAGATAAGGCTTGATCCCCTACAACACTAAAAATTAAGAAAGAAGAAGAAGACTAGACACTGTTTTAGTCCTTTAGTTTCCTCCCATACACACACTTTACTGCAACCCTCCTTCAAGCTGACTAAAATCCTTGCAAACAATCGTATTCCGGCTGTCAACAATCTACCATCATTCGCATGTCCTTTATAGTAATTATAGGCTACTCACATTCAAACTTGGGGTAGAAATCCATAAACACACAGGATTAAAGTTTCATTTTGTGAGTTGAGTTTAATTTAAACTCAACTGACAAAATCATTATCCCATGTAATCTAAACTATTCTAACCTAACCTTCAAATGAACCTAAACAAAAAGGTCTATGGTTTAATTGGTTTAGAAATAAAAGTTTTAGCTTTAAATATTTTTGGTATTATTTTAATTTCCTGTTCGTGCCCAAGACATATGGCTCAGATGAAGTAGAGTACATTTTCTTCAATGACCTCGGCGTATGAAGGGATAGTGTGGTCAGCACTATGCACAGCCGCCTTTGTTTCCCTAACATTAGTTAGGTACCCATCTGAGCTGGTTGGACTCAGTGACCTTTCACTGATTTGAACCCTAATTGGAACTCGTGACTCTGGGGTTAGCAGTCTAGCTCTCTACTTCTTGGCCACGCCATCCCATTTTGGTATTATAATTCACCTAAATTTTGTATTTTATCAAATTATACTAGTGTAAAAGATCTAGAGTTCACAATTGTTTGTCTGCCGAATTGCAGTTGGCTGTTGAGGACAAGATCAATTGATCTGTTTTCTTTTGTCAAAAATTAAAATTTAATAAAAAAAATTTCTTACAAAACTTAGTATAATTTATACTTGTGAATACTAATTCAATAAATTAATTATGTTTATTCATTCTTCAAATGCTTGATGAACTACACAGTCATAGGAAGGTATACAGGTACAGTGAGGTTTCCAGATGGTGATCTAGTGCATAAAGACTCTTGGCTACCTGGATCTGAAAATCAAATATATGTGACAATGGAGACCAAAGAAGGTATTGTAACATTTTAATATTTTAGTTTTTGTTAGAAACTAGCATTTGCTAATACTTTAAAAAAAAACAACTGTTCTATAAACTTTGTATAAAGTCAATTAGGATAAATATAATGTGATTCTCCAACAGCTGTTGTTCTACAGTGGCAATGCTATCATAGGCTTGTTTTATATAAGAAGTAGGAGAAGACAATTCTGTATAATGCAGTGTTGATTTGTAAAAAAAAAAAAAAAACACTTGCTTATCCAGTAGGAAGATTTGTGTCATTTGGGAACATGTTTAACCATTTCTCAAGGTTCGATAAACTTGGGTCAATTTTATGGCATTTAAGTGATCTATAGTGCTAGACTACTAACTCCAAAAGTCTCAATTGAATTCTGGGCTCGAGTCTGTAGAACATCTCTAAGTCCACCCAGTTCTGATGGGTACCTGACTCTAGTTAGGGAAAACAAAGGTGGCTTGGCATAGAGCTGAAAATATCCTCTCTATGCAGAGGTCATTGAAACAGAAGAACTCTACTTCATCTGACCAATATGTCTTGGGCACGAAAGGGAATAGATGATTTCAAGTGATCTATGGAGGAAATTTATTTAGAACATGCATTCAATCATTCATACAAAATACCCAGAGTGGATTTATATATTTATAGATAGTATCTAATCTGTATGTAGTTTTTTACAATCCGGTATTTGACAGTTTACATTACAAAAGTAGCATGATAATAATTCAATAATTAACTAGAACTTTGATTTAATAAACAAAAATTGTATCGACTTTGCATAGCAGTCCAATCACCCAGTTTATTCCACTCAGTCTATTTGGAAATAAAAGGAAAGTATTTTATCATAAAATTAGTCAGCAAATAAAATTAGCCGAATGTCTTTTGCAAAAAAGGCTCTTACATATTTGCATAACATGTTTAAACTATTTGTTTCAGAACAAGAAAAGTTTGCAGTCATCATTCACAGACTGTCTAACAATTTTGTTATTCCCAGGATGGCCAGAGCTGGGTATAGTATCTCCATTTTCTTTCTTAAAACAATTTTAATTGAAAGCTAAGGGGTCATCCATTTATGATGTCCACAGAGGGGGGGGGGGGTAAACATTTTGACTTTTTAGGATGCATGTGGACTGGTGTGGGGTGCGTGCTTTGTGGACATCCACATGTTGAATTTAACAATAAAATACTTACTAAAAAGAAACTGCACATAGATGTTATTTCTTGTGTTAAATGTCCCCAGCACAACAGGTGAATAAATGTATAAAAATATTTTTTTTTATAATTGGGAAGGGAGGGGGAAGTGACCATGCCACTTATCTAAAACAATTCATGGTATTTCCAGTTAATTTTTTAAACATTTCAAACAGTTAAAACAAATCAACCGTGTAATCATAGCAGGCCTGCATCATTACTTAATGTCAAAGCCTAAAATAAAGTAGATCTAGCCATTTTTACTTTCTTGTATGCGAAGTATAGAGGAAGTATTGTAATCATGTAAAAAATCTAAATTTTACATGCTATAAGGCTGTAACCTGATCACTTTGTGTGCAATTCAATTTTACGTGATTCTATTCTATTTAAAAATTGATTAAAAAAAAATTTGTCCATAACCCAATTATGCTAGAGATACCATCCCCCTTAGTGTTATATAAGAATATTCAAGAAAGTTCACGGGATATCACTCCCGCTTTATTTTTTCAAGTAAAAAAACCTCAAAATAATGATGTTGTAATTAGATATTTAAATACTAGTTATAATGTGATCGCTTTGCCAGGTTGTAAATGTTTTATTTCTTAAATTAAATTCCAAACTCTTTCTAGATTTTTTACTTTCTCATATACTGATGATGTCTAATCTAACACATCCTCCAAATATGTTTTTTTTTCTTTTTTTTTATATACCAAAATGAATACAGTCTTTTACTTTACAGCCATTGACACTCTATTGGACTTAGTTGACATACATGTAGACAGTTAAGGTTTCATCACTCAGGCAAGGTTTGTCACTGTGACCACAGTTACCCTCTAGACTAACAAAGTTTTAATACTAAACAAACATTAGTCAAAATCTATTTTCAGCGACATTAGGCTATCAAATGAAGGAGAAAGCTTGACTGTGGGCAGCAATGTCGTGTCAATATCTTCCCTTGGTGCTGTACAGGATGTCACCGTTAACTTGATTTTCTCCGTCCAACAGGCAAGTCACAGCCATCCAAACTCCATTCTATCTGTCAAACTAATGAGAGATTATTTAATTTAAATAATTAAAAATTCAGTTTACTGTTTTTTAACAACTGGCCGATTTTATTATTAATTGCAGTCCGAACTGAACACCCCTCAATGTGCTTTCATTGACACCAGGTTAAGGTAATATTATTTTATATTATTATATCCCAATTTTGACAACAATGTATCAGTTGATATTTTTCACTGTTTTCTCTTGGTTTATCAGTAAACAATAAAGGTAGCCCAATAGCAGTTCAAACGATTTATTTACAGTGAAATTACAACATGGTAGCACTTATTCTATAATGTTCAGGTTTGGATAAACAAGACCAGACAAGAAGAAGTTATTTTCTCCATTCATCATTCTCCCGTTATCTAGTACATTTATTAATTAATACACCCAAATAAGGGTCAGCTACATACCACAATCAAGACAATTCATGCCTACAGAAGAAAAAGTCAGTCAATAGATGGTTGCCAGTTTAATGAAACAAAATATACATTTATATTTTTTAACACAGAGCATAGCTTGCATTTTTAAATATTTACATTTTATTTTATCAGTAGCAGCAAATATGGTTTTAAATTAAATGGGGAAGAAATCTTTTTAATTGTATGAGCATTCAAAGTAAAAGTTAATTTAATTTTAGCAAGTGGTGATACATTTGATTTGATGAGATAAAACTGATACACTAGCACTTTAATTTACTGGCCTACAAAATCTACTTTCTATTTCAGCAAAGGGACAAACGTCTACTGGTCTGATGTAGGCTGTCGAATCGTCTCTCAAAACTTTACTCACGTTGTTTGCACCTGCCAGCATATGACCAACTTTGCCGTCCTAATGAGCAGGTTTGATAATGTAAGCATTTGATAATTTCTTCTTTGGATGAAATAGATATTTTAAAATAGTTTGAAAAGTTATTATTTTTTATTTTGAAGGATGAGACTAAAAACATCTACTTGTATATTTTTATGACCCCCCCATATATATACAGGGTTCGTACGCTGTCTGGAAAGTCTGGAAAAAGTCTTGAATTTAGAAAAGTGAATTTAAGACTTAAAAAAGTCTGGAAAATCGCTAGTTTTTGGGCTGGATTTTTTAAAAGTCTGGAAAAAGTCTGGAATCCAGTTTTAGAAACAAAACTTCGAAGTCCATATTTTCCAACTTAAAAAATTGCTATTTTTAAGTGAATTTACTCCAATTTTTTTCCCCGCGCTTTTGCGCGGGTTTACACTGTTGTGACTTTTTTCGCTGGTTTGCAGAAAAAAAACGGATGCTCAGTTGCTACGTCATTGGAAGAGGAGGGGAAGGGAGGGAAGAGATATTTTGTGTTGCGACTGACCGTGTGAATGTGTTACAAGTGTTTAAAATTAAATTTAATGAAAGAATGATCGCCTTCAGAATTGTTAGGCTCTTGATTTTACCCGCTATTTTTCATTTTTTAAGTTTTCACGCAGACAGTCATAACAAAAAAATGTGGGAGGTGTATGAATGGTAGTTTAGATATAATTTATTTGTCTCTGAGGGTCATCCGTTTATGACATCCACAAATTTTTCGGATTTTAACCCCTCCCCCTTCCACACGCGTTCACTTACTTTGGGTTAATATTAACATTTATAAGATTAATAAGTCGCGAGGCCTCCTTGGTTCATACCCGTATTTCTGTTTGCTTCAGCGGTCGCTTACCAAAGATGTACTAATTTTATTTAGGAGTCGTCCATAAATGACGTCACACTCGGAAAAGTCGGGAGGAGGGTTTTATAAAGTGTGACGACACGCTCTTGCAATAATGTTATGGTGATATAAATACAGTGTTTTGTTTACACGCTGGGATGGTTTTTAAAACACAAGCATAGATTTCAATGCTGACGATTAAAGCTAGACTACCCCGCCCCTCCTTGTAACTAAGGTCACTTGTGTGAACTCACCGTGACCCCAAGTTTGTAGTTGATACTGCTTGGTAAGGAGGGTGGGGGGTATAAGTCACATCTCAGTTCATGTTATGACGTATTAAACAGGCATACTGAAGCCTAGACTACTATGACATCACAATGACCCCTTCACCGTGTCTTGTGGTTGTGGGGGGGAAGGGGGGGGGGAGGATACCGGCAATTTTTTTTTATTGCAGACCCGTTCCTCAGCTATAATTAGTATAAGTGTATAAGCATAAACAGTGAGTGATGTGGTTACAGCCTGCAGAATTTTTTTTTTTTTTTTTTTTGCTCCAATTTTTTTTTTTTTACAAGTAGCCTATATTAGGCTACTTAACAAGAGCAGACCTAAATTAATACATTACGTTAGTATTCTTTAAAGTAATTAACTCTCACTATTATGCAATACCATTTTAATAATAGTTTAATTGAAAACATTAGCATTTTGATCATGAACAGA